GTTTTGTTGGCCGAGTTCCCGACCGCCTTGTTTTTGTTTTTGTTTGGGCCCCGCCCCCGTCCCCGCCCCCTTCCTCCTCAGGCGCCAATCGCGTCGTGATCGCCGACTCCAACATCCTGCAGCCGGTGGGCCTGACGGTGTTTGGCAAGCACCTGTACTGGATCGACAAGCAGCAGCAGATGATCGAGCGCATCGACAAGACCACGCGCGAGGGCCGCACCAAGATCCAGGCGCGCGTGGCCTACCTCAGCGACATCCACGCCGTGCGCGAGCTGGACATGAGGGAGTACGGTGAGGTGGCCTCGGGGCCGGTCGGAGCGCTTTTGAGGAGCCCTTCGGCCGGCCCGTCGATTTACCAATAAGCCTCCGCGCGATAAAAAGCCGTTAGTGAAGGTCAAAAAAAAACCAACCTTCGACAGCCGGCCAAAAGTGATGGCGTTTGTTGACGCGCGTCGTTGGCAGGTAAGCACCCGTGCACGTGGGACAACGGCGGCTGCTCGCACATCTGCATCGTCAAAGGCGACGGCACCACCCGCTGCTCCTGTCCCGTCCACTTGGTGCTGCTGCAGGACGAGCTGTCGTGCGGAGGTGACGTCTCGCGTTCCGTCCCCCGCGGCGCCCCTTCCCGTCCCTCCCTGACCGTCACCGCTGTCCCCCACCTCAGAGCCCCCCACGTGTTCCCCCGAGCAGTTCTCGTGCCGTTCGGGCGAAGTGGACTGCATCCCGCAGGCGTGGCGCTGCGACGGCTACGCCGAGTGCGACGACGACAGCGACGAGCAGGACTGCCCCGTTTGCTCGGAGAGCGAGTTCCAGTGCGACAGTCGCCAGTGTGTCGACCTCGGCCTCAGGTGCAACGGCGAGGTCAACTGCCAGGACCGCTCCGACGAGAACAAGTGCGAAGGTGAGACTCGCCGGCCGCAGGCAAGAGGATGCTCGGCGCAGACTGACCCCGGCGCGCCGACCGACCGACCGTCCCTGACCCGCCCCGTTCATTCTCACTGGGCGGCGGCGCTGAAGCCGGGCGCCTTGGGGACCGGTCGGCGACATTTCCTCTCTCGGTCGGCCGAGCGCTCAAACGGGTGGCGGCGAGTCGGACGGTGCGCCGGGATCATCATAGTCGCGATGCGTGACGGGCCCGCAATCACGCGGCGTGGCGCCGGTTTGTCTCCCAGTGCGCTGCCCGTTGGACCAGTTCTCGTGCGCCAACGGCCAATGCGTGGGCAAGGACAAGAAGTGCGACGACAACATGGACTGCGACGACAACTCGGACGAGATGGGCTGCTGTAAGACGCGCGCCTTTACCGCCGCCTCCTCCTCTTGCCGTTGCTCATCCAACCCTCGGCGCGGGTCTTGCAGCGGACTCCACAGAGGAACCGCCACCTTCCAACAACACCGTGGGTTCCATCGTGGGCGTGGTGATGGCGCTCTTCCTGGTGGGCGCCGTCTACTTCGTGTGCCAGCGCGTCCTGTGCCCTCAGATGAAGGACGACAGCGAGACGGTGGCCAACGACTTTGTGGTCCACGGGCCGTCCTCGGTGCCGCTGGGATACGTGCCGCACGCCGCCCCCCTGTCCGCCTCGCTGCCAGGTGAGGCGCCGGCCGCCGGGCGCGCCGCGTGACGACGGGCCCGCGCTCACCGCTTGCCGTTTGTGCCAGTCATGTCCGGGGGCAAGTCGGCGATCGGCTCGCTCAGCATCATGGGCGGCAGCAGCGGGCCGCCGTACGACCGCGCCCACATCACCGGCGCCTCGTCCAGCAGCTCATCCAGCACCAAGGGCGCCTACTTCCCGCCGGTGAGGACCTCGTCCCGCCCGTTTGCGGGAAAGGACGTCGTGCGCGCGCGTGGCTCGCCTGTCGCGTGTGGAAATATGTAACGTTTGCTTGCCATCAGATTCTCAACCCGCCTCCTTCCCCCGCCACCGTCCGCTCGCAGTACACGCTGGAGTTTGGGTACTCGTCCAACAGCCCGTCCACGCACCGCTCCTACAGGTACCCGACGCCGGGCTAACGCTAAAGTCCATCGACGCCGAGTTTGCGCGCTGCAAGTTTCCCTTTGTTGTCCCGCAGCTACCGGCCGTACACCTACCGCCA